GAGTCCAGAAGCAGGTAATGAGAATCTGTGTGCACCTGACCTTGCCGTGCTACACCTGCAACAGGTGTCAGGTTTGGTGGGCAGAGCTTAGGAAGGCCCAGCTCAGTTGTAGACTGTCTAGGAAGAAGAGAAGATTTCCAGATCTTCTTCCAAGTGAGAGAAGACTGTCTGGAGACTGGGACATGAGTCAGAGCAGTGCTTCCTGCCAGAGCTTCTCTGAGACTAGGCAGCAAGACTATCAGTTGAGTTCATTTTGGTGTGTTTGCGTTGCAGTTGCTAGGAAGAGATTGCCACTCTTTCTCTTCAGGAGCCTACCTAAAGAGAAAGGGTAGGAAGCCCAGATGTGTTTGGATTAGGTGACAGAGATGGGCCAACTATGACGTGGGGTGGAAGACCCTTGCTAGGAGTTCTGTTAGGCTTTGGATTGGGCTTTGTATTCTTGGGAAGGTCTGAAATGCTGGTGTGCTTTGGCTGGAAAGCTAATTTCCCACAGCACCAGGTTATGGTGGATACAGTCCATGACTGAGGCATTGTAATTAGTCCTGTGGTAGGCTACAATGCAGTGCAGTGCAGCCTGGCCCTGCCTACCACACATCCTCTGACAGAGTCTACCTAGTTGCCTGTTTTGCACTGTCTGACCTCCGATGGGTGTTGTGAGGTGCTTGGATCGCAGCAGCGCTTACAGGATTCAAGATGTGTAGAGTACTAGAAATGAATAGATGAGGAAAGCTGGGATGACCAGCAGTGGCTCCAGATTTTTAGGGTACAGGAGGGTATTTTACTTGAACTCTGAGGTGATCTTGCTCTGCCTGTAAATATCAGGGTAAGACCAGGTTGTCTTTCTTATACCCATCCTCAAAGCCCAGTGCCTCCTATACAGCCCCTTATTACTCAGATACTGACACCGCCAACAGCTGATGGCCTGGAGTACTCATAAACACTGTTCTGCAATGTTTTCAAAGTCTGAGTTGCTATTTTGTAGTGACGAGAGATAATGGAGCTCTTTCGCCTGCTACAGACAAAGAAGCCCATTCCAACAAGATTTTCCCAGCAGTAGGTACCTTTATTTCAGTAGAAGTCTTCAGAGCAGCTGGGGGGTCACTGCAAAATGTCACATTGATGGTTGAGGCATACAGCCACAGCCTCATGCTAGGACATAGACCTAAATTTCATTTCAGAGAACTTGTAGGAATATTCATTCCCGATGCCCTGGTTCCAGACCACGCCATCGCCACTTTCAATCTGGTAACCTTGCAAATACCTCCCATTCAGGTGGGAGAAATGGCAATTATTGAACCACCAGCCCCCCTGAAAAGTCTCAGCACAGTTCTTGTATGAAACTGGATCATTGTTCTGATTGTGGGTTGAAAACTTACTGTTGTTATGGTAACTTAAAGAATCACCTGTAATAAATACATAAAAGGATTTATAGTCAGGTTGGTCACTTCTTTCCCTGTAATGCTGGGTCAGTCAATTATAAGAATTTAATCATTTCCCACATTGCTAGGCCCACACTACCCTTGCAGTAAAGGAGACTGGTTGACATGATACTCTGGGCTGTCTTGAGAGAGGGGACAGATCCATGTATTCATGGCTGAGCTCAGAGCTGTTTTTGATTTGGAATATGATGGGGAAAACAACCAGCTGCTTTATCTTGCTCCCCTTACTTTAAGACTCATAGGTTTACAAATTGAAGTCCAAGCCCTCGAGAGAGAGTTCACAGATTAATTTTGGGTGATTTACCTTAACCCCCCCCCCCCCCGGCCCCCCTAACTCCATTCCCTTAATTTTTATGGGTTTGTTGCTGCTGCTGCTGTGGCTCTGCCACTGAGCCAGCCTTGTGTGGAGTAAAATTTATGTTATTTCTGCTGTGGGATGCCCTGCATTTCAGTTGGATGGACATACTGCTCTTCTGCTCTGAATGTTACTGAATGTGTGCAGTACCTACCTGCATTGCCTGCAACCATGTCCCCTAGAATCAGCTTGTACTTGTCAGATTCTCCCAAAATGTGGAACGAGTCATACTTGGCAAAATACTTCTTGTTCTCAAAGTCTCCAAGGTCAATACGCAGCTCATTCCTTCCTATTGAACACAGGAACAACAGGAAATGTTATCCCTGTTCTGGTGACACTTTGCGGGGGGCTGGGTTTATTTATGGTGATGTTGAAGCACCTGGACCTAGGATGGAAGTCTGCCACCTGTGTGCGGGTCCTATGGAGAAGCTGTGTGTGTTGCTACCTGCTGATTTCTTCTGGTCAGAAAGGACCTGAAAAATGTTTCCATTGATCTCCTGTATCAGAACCCACTGAGATGGCTGATTTCATGGTCTTATGCAGCCATGTGATGGCGATTGGCTGGTACTGTGATGCCCACTAAATATCGCACTACCCAGAGAGGATGTATGTATGAAAGCTGTCATAGCACACATTGGGGTTAGCCAATGGTGGGAATGGGACCGTTTTGGTGAAACACATATGTTGGGTATCTGCTGTTCAGTCTTTAAGTTGAACTAACCTCAGCTGGAGCCAGCCACACCATGTTGTTACCACCAGCTTTCCCAGAGCTGTGCTACAGTGAACTGCAACTAGGGTTGCAGCACTCGCTTCACCACTAGTGCGGTGGATTGGCAGGTCCAGAGGACTGGACACTGGACTGGGAGTTTGATCTGGGCTTTGCTCTCAACTCTTCCCCTGATTTGCTGTATAAGCTGCAGCAATCCAAGACCTCTGTGCTTATTTTTCTTATAAAGTGCTTTGAGAGCCACAGGCAAAAATAACTGTTAGAGCTACTAAAAGTTTCTAAATCCTGTTAGAGAGGAGGGGGTAGGTGGGATGGAGAAGTGTTTAGAAAAAATAGCATCAGTGATTTCTTTACCAAGTGAGGTCAGCAGGTGAATGTTGTCATTTCCCAGCCAAAACTCTGTCAGCTTGCTGCCAAAGCCTCTCTTGTATCCAGCCCAGCCCTGAAAAAAATCCGTGGAACCATCTGTCCTTCTCTGGAAAACCTGCAGTGCAACAAGAGGGAAGCTGGTCATGTGCATTTCACTTCTGTGACTAACTTGTTGCTTCCAGAATAAGGTCCTTCAGTGGTTGATTTAGGGCTAGCATGCCATCATTTCAACCTTCCTTCCATCATTTCTTTTATAGGAAAGAGAATTAAACTGAAATCCTCTTCAGTTGACTACATCTTGAGAGTCTTACTCTGGTCAAGTAATGATCAAACCAAAAACTGTGTTAACCCCAATAGGATTTTGACTGTAGTCATGAGTGAAAATTAAACAAGGTAACCTTCTGCCTCAGCGAGAGAGTGCTTAGTTGAAAGAAAATGCTATAAATACCTTGGGATGAGGGGCATCTAAACTAAATTTGAGAGACAAAAATCTATGCACAATTACAAGACCCTTAGTAGCTAATAGTTTTTGTACAGCTTTTCCTAATTTTTCTCCCATTTAACTTAATGGGGGTGGGTTGGGTGAGGCTTATCTTGGAGTTGAGTTTGAGGAAGCAGTGGGGCAGGGGGAGTGGGGAGGGGTAGGGGGCTAGGGCAGGCAGCTGCTGTGGCTCCAGCTCTGGCCGTAGTCTCTCTTCTCTCCCCCACCCCTGCAGCTTTGAGCCCCCTGATGCCTCTTCCCCCCTCCCCACAGTGTATCCTTGTTTTGGCACCAGCAGACTCTGTCCCAACTCCAGCCTGGGGCATGGAGCACAACCCCAGGCATCACACATTGCCTACTCCTCTGCCACTGCTTTCCCTGCCACAGCAGCGGTAGAGAGGAATTTAAGAAAATCTTCCAATAATTAGATTCCATACATGGAAAATGACATGGAAAAATGTAAACATTTGTTATAAAGAATCTAATTACTGAGGAGTTGTCTGGAATTCAGGGTCATTTTGGATTCAGGATTCACTGTGAGACAAGCACCTCTCTGAATATATGTGTAAGCTTCATTTCACTTTGCTCTCACTCACAGTCCATCCTCCGCCATCATTCTCCATGTCACATAGCACAGTCATGCGTGTACAGTCTATGGGATAGATGGTGTACCAGCCACTCAGAACATTTCCTCTGGCTCGCAGCTGTTTGCAGTTCTTCGCACCTGTGCAGAAGAGGAAACAAAATCTCTAGACCAATGTTTCCCAACTGGGGTGACACAGCACCTGGGGATCATGAAACTCAGCCAGTGTATGTGGAGTAAAGCACTTTCCTAGGCTCTAATTGTGCAAAGATCAGGCGCAAGAGCTGTGCTTCCATCTGGCAGCCTTTGCTCCCTGCAGCATCCCACAGACCAGCAGCATCCCCAGCTGCTCCTCTAGGAACTGCTGCTGATGCCCTCCTCTGACTGTGGGCGCAGTGCTGGGGGGGAAGGGGAGGAGAGGTAGATGGGTCTAGTCACCAGCATGTACCACCACAGGGGGGTAGCCACAGCTCCAGGGACCACCTTACCTCCTTGGGAATGGACTGAGGCCAGGGAGTGGGGGGAGGTGGTGTAAAGAGCGGGGTGCAGCAGGGTGAGGTCCTGCTCCTGCTGCCATCCCCTGGCACCAGCTAGATCAGTGGCTCTTGATGTTCTTCGCCTCAAGGCTCCATGGCTCTTCTGAATTTAGATTCAAGCTCAGTAAATCTCAGCTGTCACCCCAGGATGCCATTAAATTCAGAGAAATTATATGCAGGGATGCTTTGAGGCTAAGAGGGTTGAGAGCCACTGCTCTAGACTGCCAAATCTGAACAGACTGAGTCAGAAGCATCTCATTATGATTTTTACACTTCTAAATTAATTGAAAGCCTATATTTGCATGGTGACACAAGGCATAAATACATGTTAAGACAGTGAGAAAGTCTAGCTTCAGCCACAGACTTCTCAGCAGGACTGATTTTGGCAAAAGTGAATTCTTTGGTACCACACTGAAGGTGTGTCTGAGACCATTTATAGAGGGGATCCCACTTCCTGTTGGTAACTGCAGTGTCAGAGGAGAACTCTGGCCCCTGTTGATGGCTGATGGCTTTGGGTGGACTATTGCAATGAGTAAAGCAAGTTGGATCTTGTGCCATTATCACTAGCAATCATTTTCTGTAACTGGGTTCTATATGATGCAGTCCTTTGAATGGGAGGGTCATTCGTACACTTTCTGGTGTCTCTCTAGCTTGCTGTGTGATGGTTTTGTTTCATGAATGAGACCAACAGGACTACTATTACAGCAAACACTCACCATTCCTACATGACATTTGGTCCAGGCCATTCTTGTCTGTGCAAAGAAAGACATGCAAGGAAAATGAATTAGAAACAATGCACTGTGCTGTAGTGTCTTACACTTCTATTCATTCCTGCAGTCTAATAGTTCTGTCTAATTGCCTTGATCAAAATACTTATTCATATTAAACCATAGTTCACTTAAAGAAGTGAGCTACCTTGGTGCATGCACCAGACTCCCACTAAAAAAAGCGACTCTCACAGATGTATTAATTCTAAGGAGAACTGAGAAGGGAGTTCCAGTTAGGAATGAGGATTTCTCTGCAAGGCAATACACATGGCACCCTACACTTCCACTTAAAGAGGTGTTCTGAATAATGTGCCTTTGATCAATCCTCCCAGCCACTTGGCAAGATAGCTGGGCCACACTCTTACATTGATGGCTTGATCTCTCCCCACCCTGACTCTGATTCAAGTCAATGACCTGCCAGACAAAATTCCTAGCAATGATGGATGTTTTTAGACCAATGGATATAAGCCTCTGCAGACTCTGAAGAGATCAGGTCTGGATCCAAATTCAGATTCAAGCATGATTGTTGTGCCTATCTTGAATTATTGTAGTCAAGTTGTCTCCCTGTTCTTACACCACCTTGTCAGCTCTGGGGATGTTATGAAATCAGAACTCCATGCCAAGATATGGCAGTCAGAAGGTTTCTGACGGACTTCAAGAAGAAGCGCTTTTAATATAAAGCCCTATGATTCCCTATGACATAAAGGAGAGTGAAGATATTCTTACTTAAAAGTCCAGGATCACCAATCTGTCCTGTGGCTCCTAAAGAATGAACACATGAACAAATCACTGCAGTCTGGAGAGCTCACTCTCACCTGAGTGCTCCCCCCATCACTAAACATGAAGACTGGTGTAAAACTGACTCTCCTACATAATCCAGTGGGACAGGTCCTTGGTCTTTCAGTCTGAACATCTTGACACTGAAGGGAGAAGCGGTGTTCTCCTTTAATCCAGTGCAATCCTTCTGCCTGTAATGGCATTGCATTGGCACAAAGAGGAGGGAATGTTGGGCTACTCTATGGTTTTTTTCTTCATTTGGATCAGAATGCTTGGAACTTCAAATAATTCCAGTGGTGGTAAGTGTCCAACTCACTGAATGTTGGACTTCTTTGGCTTAGGACCTTATGAAACTCTCTGCCTAATGGCAATTCTTGCTCCATAACTATGTGGGTCAGCCAAAGCGAAGGATTTTCTGGGATGTATAATGTATCATCTCTTATAAGCCAGATTTCCTAGGCAGCTCAGCTCTCGTGTAGTCACTAAACGAATAGATCTTCAAGGGGCACTACAGTGCAGACAGTGCAGAGCTGTTTCCAAAAGCTTTTTCTTTGTTACAAGTGAACACCCTGCTATTTCCAAGAACAATACTATAGAAAAAGAGATGTCATTCTTCCATAAAAGTAATTAAAGGAGGTCTCTTACCTTTTGGACCATGCTCACCAGTGTCCCCCTTCTCTCCTGACATAAAAATGGACAGAATGAGCAGAGATGCAGCAATCTTAATGGGAGCTTAGAACTGGGGGTCCGCTAGGGTGGTAGGTGAATGAGTGACTGACAAAATAGATCTGTGAATATATTTATGAACAATGGCTTGTATTTGGTTACAAATATGAATATAGATTGGCTGTCTCCTGCTTGTGATGCTATAGATTACTGCCAGTATCCACGACACCACTGCCTACTCTTGCAGGCTACATACAGTCAGAGCAAATGCTCCTTAATCAAAAACAGACTAAAAAAAGAACAAGTAGCCAAAATAGATGGAGGCTCTTATATCGCTCAAATTGAGATAGAGATATGACATGCCAAAATTCTGAAAATTATTCCAGAAAACTGAGACCCCCGCATTGTAAAATAACACTTGCTTCTTACCAACTTTACTTAATTTCTATTTTATTTTACCTCTATTCCCTTCTGGCCCCATCATCCCAGGGTTGCCGGGAGGTCCCATTTCTCCTATAAATACAGAAAACAAATGGAAATATTTCACAGATATTCATTCACAGAAGAAATGAGAAGAGGTCTGAGATTCCAGATCTACCCTTACAGGCCTTTCAGACCAGATCCCCATCCCCCTTGCAGTCAGTGGCATCAAGGGAAATTAGGGTCCTGGGCCATAACTTCCTGGATATATAGACCTTTCAAATTATACCCAAACCTGTGGTCCTACAGCTAGATTTTAATAAAAAACACTATGGCTATTTCTTAAGATCTGATGCTTAAGTTGTATCTATGCAAAGCAGATAGTCTTCTAGCACTGGCAAACATACCGCTCATTCCTCTATCTCCAGGCATTCCTTGGGGACCCGGGCCACCTGGAAGTCCAGGACATCCTCGGACAACAGTGAGAATCTCATTACCGCCATAACCAACGAATTCAAAGTCTGGAGGCACAAAAAGGTATCTGTAAGGATGACAGTGTCTATTCTGCAAATGATGGGTTTTTTTGGAGAGAAGCAGGATCTATACGCAAGGTCAGGCAGAGCTGTTTCCTTGGACAGGAAGGCAAATATAACAGGTGTCTAGAAAGGGCAGAGGGTACAGATACAAACAGGTGTAACTAGCATTAAACATATTGTTCAAGGGGATGGCCTGGTTTCTCTCTTACCTGGGCAGGTCTCCTCATTCAGACAATTTGCTACTGTGAAGCAGAGTAAAGCAAGGAGTGTTTGCTGTGTGCTTTTCCCCATGGCCCTTGCTTATCCCTGCAATGGCAGCTGCACTCGTCTTCTCACCACCCTGCTCTGCTCTGCTCTGCTCTGGGATTTCAGAGCTGAGAGCTTTTCCCAGGCAATAGAAATTACAATATTAGGCTCCACCTCTGAACTCTCCTTCCCCTCAGCCTGCCTCTGGATTCTATGTTTTTTCCCCAACTAACAGCATTCTGCAGAGAATATCTCCACCGAGGCCTGGAGAACCTTTCAAAAACCTTGAAACATTCTCAAAAAGATAGATCCTCCTGTGTCCAGGGGCACCCTTGTTCTGGTTCCTCTTTGAAGAACAGGGGACTCAAAAGATGCCAAGATGGAGATTTGTGAGGCGCTTCATTCCAAAATTGTGAGGTCAGGTGCCCACAGCTGGGGAACAAAATACACAGAAATACACATTTCATAAAGCAGATGTTGGGTCAGTGGCCACTGCAGTTGTATCCGTTTTCATTTAGAAACAGCAGAAATGGTCATCTGTGTTTTTTCAGTGATGCACAGACACATTTTTATTCTAGCCTATTCAAGTCCTCAGTCTCGACAAGGAGAAGGGTGTGTTTCAGATGTGTTTCAGCTGAAGAGACATAATATTCCCCTCTGAGACTCCAGTACCTTGATGGGCTAGTTCAAGGAGTGCCTACACATTTTTTAAATGCCCAGCAGGCATTGAAATGTCTTTGAAAATTTGGCCTTAAATCATGGATTCTACTTGAATATGGGACTTGGCTCCAAATTCACTTAGGCCATGTCTATACAGGCTCAGAAGTGCTGCCCACAGATAAATCCATGCTTACTATACATTTGCCCAAGCATTCAAGCTACGCAGAGTGGATGGCTTTAGGTGTGAACCTGGGTGCTTCTGAGTGTCCCCCACAGCACTGTGCTCGGGCTTTCCTGACATGGTGAATCCAAGCTACATGCTCAAGGCTACTCTAGTGCACAACGGAGCTGCCTACTCTGCCCCTCTTGTATGCTTGGGGATACAAGAAGCAGGTGCCACTGGGTAGAGCTAATATGTTGATGGCACTGCTGGGCTCACTCCAGGACCTTAGATGACATAGCTCTAAGTGCTTTTGAAACTTTTCCATATGCCACTGCTGGGTTCATAATTTTATGCAACAAGGTAGCTTAAACATTGCACCCTAGGTAGAGTCTGGGGAAGGACATGGAAGCAGAATTAAAGCTGAAGAGAAATCTTACTTTAATGTGGGTGTATTGGGGGGAAGGAGGGAGAGGAGGAGGGGTCTGAACACATTTTTTTCATACTGTAACTTTTTATTAAGATTATATTTATGGGCAGTCTAGGAGATTCTCGACATACGAAATGCCATATGAGGTCAGACCAGAGGTCTAGCCCAGTATCCTGTCACCCAGAGTGGCAGGAGCAGATGCTTTAAAGGGAAAGCATTGAATTGGATATAGATAGAGTGATCTATCCTTTGTTCATTTCCGTCCCCAACATTCACTGTTATTGATTTAGAGATGCTAGAAGAAACGTCTCCAACCATTTTGTTCAATAGTTATTTATAGGATCTCCCACCCATGAATTTCTCTAGTCCCTTTTTTAATCTAGCTGCCCCAGCACCTCCTGCAGCAATGAATTCTACAGGTTAACTCTGCATTGCCTAAAAAAGTTTTCTCTTGTTAGTCTTAAACCTGTCTCCTACCAATTCCAGTTTGTGCTTCTAGTTCTAGGATATTGGGACTTGGTGAATAGCAGTTAATTTTTCCACACCCTTCATAATATTATAGACTTCTATCATATCTCTGTTGCCCCCACCTCCTCCGCCCCCTGCTTCAGCTTTCTCCCTTGCAAACTAAATTAACCAGGCATCAAAGCAGGTTTTCCTTTATTGTTGGCACAGACCGTCTCTATGAACAAGGGAGAAGGCTGTGTTCTTTTTTATGGACATTACATGTATTTCTGTATACTAGATTAGCAGCAGATACCGTTTGCTGCCTGAGTTCAAAGAGTTACCTCCCACACGTGGCAGGAAGGCAGTCAACAGCTTTAGATAAACCTTTCACTGGGATATGACTGATAATAAAGCAGACATCAGTGTCTGAAGTTTAACCTGTAACCAAGCTAAGCTCAATACACCTAGCCTAACATTTGCAAGGCAGGGTGTTAATAAATCCAAACTGTGCTTTTATGCTCATCTAACAACTGATCATAGTGCAGGGTGACTGAGTCAGGAGGAAGCCATTGGTCTAAGCCAGTCCTCAACCTTGACAAGGCCAACCACACCGTAGGGGGACATACAGGAAAGATATGGACATAGCTGAAAATCCCTGGCGGGCAGCATCTTGTTCCTCCTGCCTCTTTCGGTTCTCACCCTTGTTCTCTCAAGACTGAAGCATTTTCCCAAAGGATCAGTGTGTATGGTGCTGTCTGTGTCTGCTACAAGAGCAGTCTTCTTTCAGGCATGCCACACAATCCTCCCTCACATTAACTGCTGTAGTCTGCACTCTGCCACCTGCTCAAGCTTGGTCCAGAATTGGGGCAGATAGATAAAATCCTGTTCCATCAGGAAATGTCCAATTTGTTGAAAGTGAAAGGTTTCTCTGAAAGCTATCTTAACTTCCATCATGCCACCAGCACGTTCTCCAGGAACCTTGCCTGGTTTTGTATCAGCTCCCCAGGTGGGACAGATAGCTTGCCAGGCCTTTGCAGCTTTGAGGCAGGTCTGGGAATGGACACTGCCAGAGAGAGGTCAAATGCAGAAAGGATCCTGACCAGATTTTGATATTGCTTTGGCCCATTGATCACAATGGCTGTTGGGCTCCCAATACATTTTCAAATCCCACCAGACCCCTGTCTTCACTTTTAGACACTCAAATACCTTTAAATACTCTGGCCCTAAACTGCTTGAAGCCTGGACTTGGGTCCTTTGTCACAGAGCTGCTTTGGAAACTCCTGCTGGTAACGTTGATGTGTTCATGAACTCATGTAAATAGTCTGTTTCTCAGGGACAGTTAGTGATGTCTCGAGGCTAACACAGCTGACCCTGTGGAAAAGTGTAGGAGCAGAGTTGAAACAGAAGTAGGATGTGTTCATGTGGATGCGTTTGAACTGCATGTCGGTTATTTATTTTAAGCACACCTTCCATCACAGTTATTTCAAGGGGCAGCCTGTGCTATTCTCAAGCAGGGATCAAAGTCAAATGTTTCTTGGCTCTTAATACAGAGAGTTACTGTGAACATGTGGGTCAGGTCTTTTTTCTTGTTATGAGTATCCTATGTACCTCTGTGTAGTGGATTGTCATTATGCTGTTTGTTCCCTAGCTTCCAAGAGCTGCCTCCTGAAGGCATTCTCCTCCATTTGGTGGGAAGGCAGACCATGGCTTTAAACAAGCCAGTCACTAGTACGTGTAGATATCCAGTGTTGAAATGCACGTGAGCAATGTCAGTCTTGCTCAGGATCTTGCAAGGCTTCCTGGACCTACATTTCCAGGATGGCCAGATCAAGCAGACTGGTGAGGGCAGGATGCCAGGGTTTCTTGTCATGTGAGCCAACTAGTTCCTACAGCAGTGCTTCTCAACCTTTTCTGCATCATGATCTCATTTTAAATGTTGGAAATGTTTTGCAACCGCAAAATGATGCAGACAAGATTAATGCCCCCTCCCTCCATGGGTGGCAGCAGTGGTGGCATGGAGTTATGTCCCCTGCTACTGCTGGGCAGGCAGGAGGTGTCTTGCCATGGTAGCATGGCTGGCATGGGGCTCTCAGCAGTGGCACTGAGCCTGTCTGCCCTGCTCTGCCCTCCTGTGCTGGGTCCCACCAGCTGAGCTGTGGAGGCCCTGGGGGGAAGGCAGCAAGGTGGGGAGCCCCAAGCCCACAGTGGGTAATCTTCATCTACCCTCCCCCCTTGCACAAATTGGGGGGAGGGGGTGGGGCGTGGACTTCCCTATGCCTCCATCCCCAGGAGAGTGTACACAGTCAGGGAGCCAGCTCCCCCGCTGCCCCCCAGACAAGCCGCCCATGGCACCATCCTGCTCCCCCAGCTAGACCCATCATTCCCACCCCAGCCCTGGGCCCCATGCAGCAGCCCAGCTGGGCAGCCCCACAACCCTGCCCCATTTCCTCTCTTCCTCTCTCCCTGCCCCACTGTGGGGGTCTCAATCTGCCCTCCCCTCCACAAACTTACCTGGATGGAGCTGCCAGAGCTGCTCTCCATGCTGCCTGATTACCACGTGCATGTGTGCACACACACATGCACGTGGCACCCCCTGTCTGATTGCCCTCCTCCCACTCCCACCAGCCCCAAGCAGCCTCTTTGAACTCTGCCTGCTTGCAAGGGGAACCCGCTATTTCCCACTTTTTTCCATGATTTTCATCATAATTGGTTGACACTGTTGAGTATCCTTTCCGTGACCCCTCTTTTTATTGTTGCAAACCCAAACGTGGTTGTGACCCCAAGGTTAGGAATCGCTCTCTTACAGGCTCTCAACTCTTGAGGTAGCTGCATCCCCAAGTTGTGGGGGCACACAAAGCCCAGGTGTCAAGGTCTGGTTTAAATGGTGGTTTCCCATTTCCCAGCTCTGCATCCAGGATCAGAGAACCCCTAAGGTCCCTGGCCACAAGGCACTTTTCATGTCTGGACCATCCTCAGAGCTCTGGACTCGTGCAAGCTGGACTTCCTGCCTGTTGTTGGATGGAAATTCTGGTTTTCCCTATGAATCCAGAAAAGTCAATAGCAGTTGATCTCAATACAGTTCTGCCCCTTATGCGTGGTCTTGTAACTATGCCATTGCATCAAGTTTTCCTAATGATTGATTCAATGTGGCAAAGATTGCTAAAAAAATAGATACGGAATACAGATGCATGGATTTAGTCTAATGCATTTTTCCTAGGAGCAGGCACAGGAGTTCCCTCATAAGAGCCTGGAGGTCTTAAATGCTAAACTTCCAGGGCTGCTCCAAAGTCCTCCTCCTTTTTTCTATGTTATGGGACAGGAGTGAAATGCAGGGCTTTAGAGAGAGAGTTGCCTAAGCAGTGGAGTGCCAAAAAGGATCAGCGATCTCAGTGAGGACAAAACATGGAGTATGGAGGCAGGCTGAGGGAAGGATAGTTCAGAGGTGGAGCTTAATATTGTAATGCCTATTGCCTGGAAAAAGGTCTCAGCTCTGAAACCACAACCTAGAGGAGAGTGTGTGGAGAAGACGAGCACAACAGCCAGTGCAGAGACCAGCACTAGCCATGGAAAGGGCTGCACAGCAAACCCTCCTTGCTTTACTCTGCTTAGCAATAGCATACTGCATGGACGAAGAGAGCTGCGCAGGTGAGCGAGAAAACAATCTGTTACCTTGCAGCAACTAAGGGCCATTTAAGGGCCAAACTCTACCCTCGTGCACTGGGTGCTGTACAGGGAGTACACAGATCCAGGAGCCTGGAAGAGATTCATTTGGAGCAGTTTCCAACAAGAGCTCCTAACAAGAGAGAGGAGTTCGTAGTGGAAAGGGCAAGCCTAGGACCTCCTCTGAATGCCGAAGGTATAGAGAAAGAAGTCTTCCCTGCAGTGCTACAGAACCTCTCTTAGATCATGGCCAACAGGCCTCGCACAGGTCGTGCTGCCATGGCCATCAGCCTCCATCTTACTGTCCGTTCAGTGGAACAGGTAATAGTGGTGTCTGGAAATTCACAGGGCTCCCTACAGATAGGCTCAGAAGTGAGGATGGATAGGACTGGGGTGGGCTTTGTGAAAGAAGGGAAGCAGTGCCAAAAAGTGTGGGGAGTGGAACTTGCAAAAGGAGACAGTGGAACACCTGTTGAGACGCTCGCTGTCAGAAAAAGCCTAAAAGATGATGTCCTTAGACCAAATGTTGGTTGAAAAAGACTGGGAACGCTGAGCAAAGAAAACACCACCTGTTGTCAAGAATTGTCCCATGTACACGGAAGCAGGAGCTTGTACTTCCCTTCTAAAAGAACAGGATTGCACCAAAGAAATAGCTGTTTTCAGCATCAAAGTTTTCCCTTAAAAGAATCGAACAAGTAAAAACTCCAAATTCTGATTAGCAGCTATGGTTAAAAAAAAGGTTCACGGTTCTGTTAAAATAATTAAGTCCTGTATGGCTGAAGAAGATGTCTTGAATTATGCATGTGTTAGAGAGATTTTAAATTCCTGTTATAGATTCAGAGCTCAGTGAAATATCAACTCCTGAACCTCTGCAAAGTTCAGTTCACCAAGCAGGAAACATTTAGGGTGTGATGGCAGGAGACTTGGAACCAGTGAGGTTTAGAGTACAAACTGACAACCAGAGAGCAAGAGCAGGAGAGAGGCTTCCTGCTTCGATTCTGCTTTCTCCCACGGCCCAAAGCAGTGTCTTGGGTCAGGAACCACTGTTCTTCTGTTTGTATCTGCAACCTGCTGCCCAGTGTGGGACACCCATGCCATTGGATTATATTTGTCTTTCTAGCCAAGAAAAGAGCTCTGTTTGATCTTGCATGCAGATCTGACTTCCCTCTACAAATCCCAATTTGCAGAATGTGCCAGATCCTGTGGCTCTGATAAATGTTGCTTTATGTCTCCAGAAGTAAAAATAACAGGTCTCACTGGTGATGAGAAGGTCACTGTTCTGCGAGGTTTCCCTGGAGCTCCTGGTGTCATTGGTCCCAGAGGAGAACGTGGACTTTTAGGACACAAAGGTATGTTGCCAAAGAGCAAACAGGGATCTGCTTTGGGAGTCAGAAAAGGTAGATTTGAAACTGGGAACTGTTCTCACTTCTTCAGAGTGGGCAGCATATTCACATTTGCCCCTGTATTTATAGGAGAAAGAGGACCCCCTGGGCCTCCTGGCATGATGGGACCAAAAGGGAAGACAGGTAAAATTAAACAGAGACTAATAAATGTGTTACACTGCAAGGTTTCTGTTTGTTTGTCTGTTTTGTCTCTTACTTTTTGGAACATGTGTTTCTACAATATTGTTCAGAATTTTGGTCTGTCAAGGTCCTTAAAGTGAACTCAAAACCTCCTTTCATCCAGACTTCTGCTTGGTTTCTGACTTACTGATACTTCGTAGCTAGTCGCTGTGAGTGTGTAATGGACACCAAAGGATTCTCAGGCTGTGGGTGCACAGTGAGATGTGTGCAATTGGCACAGGACCTCCAATCATGAATTAGAAGTTCCCATCAGCAAGTACTCTGTTACTTGGGACTCATGATTGCTGGAACGTTGTCCAGAATGTCTGCTTGCCAGTTCTCTGTCTCTGCCTGAATTGCTTTTGATTGCTACATCTCTGCTCCTACTGTCCATTTCTTCCATCAGGAGAGAAGGGTGACCCTGGTGAAATGGGTCCAAGAGGTAAGAAACCTTTAATAATTATTTTTATGAAAGAATAACATCCCTGCTGTTGCAGTGCTTTTCTGGGTGATGGAGGTTGGGTCATGAGGGAGTTCCACGGGGCACAGAAAGACTTGTTTGAAAGAGCTCGGCATGGTTTTTGTACCCAGTTTCTCATGAAATCTAGCACCAAGCCAGTGCACAACCTGGGAGTGAAGCTCTCTTGCAAACCTGCCCCATGGTATGTGACATTCCAGCGGTCCCAGTAAATCATCTTTGCCTGGCTGACACACAAATACAATTTATATTTTGATATTCGGGATGAGGTGGGATTTTTTCAGTATCCAGAAGTCATTTGGTCCTTCATTCAGTGGCAGCTCGGTGCCTGACTCCCTTGTAGTATCTAACATTAGCTTCTAAATTAAAAAAAATATATCCTCACACACTGGGCCAGCAGGGCCTTTGCTTGCACTCGTGCAACTTTCATGCAGCTGGGGAGATTTGACATGAAGGAGAATCTGGTCTCTCTCTTCTGTGTGAAGATATTCACCCTAATACTGTCATAGAGTAGAGTGGGTAAAGAGGGGTTTTATGCGAAGATGGGGCTCACATGAAGTGCTGAAAGGGGGCACTCAGAGCCGGGTAAGATTTCAGGTCTTTGAATGCTTGGCTTTTGTGTTGTTTCTTCAGGAGACACCGGAAACCCTGGACCAATTCCAAATATTAGTAAGAATATCTGCACAATTTTTGTTTCATTTTAAAACCTGGGTGCCTCTATAGATGTCAGTGTCCTGGGGCTGGGGAAAAACATGATGGCAATAATTGGAGATAGGTAGGATTTGTCACACTGGGATCAGGGTTTTGATCTAGATCTCATCTCCCCCAGTAGTCTGCAGAAGCTTCTGGGGCCATCCATCGTCACTATGGCTTTTGTCTTGGTGATCATCCACATGACCAGGACCAGGGAAGGCACAAATCAGCAACCTAAGTCTGCCACTAGGCAGCAGCACAGCTGCCTTTCCCAGTGGCTGCCAGGATTGGTAGAGATGCGTTCTGCATAACGTCTAGCACTGTACCTAGACTCCTGGTAGCCCCAGGCAAACTTTCAGTATTGGCCTCCCCTTCACCAGATATAATGATAATAATAATAATAATAAAAATTACCATTTTCAGGCCCCCTTGCTGTCCAGGCCCTAGGCTCTGTGTGTGCCGCACAGCAGATTGGGCAGGGAGCAGAAACAAGGGCAGCAGACCTGGCAGGGAAGGGGGACCAGAGTAGCACTCAGGGCTGAGTGCAGAGGTAATTTGAGGCACAGCTGCCAAAAAGGTTGGTCCGTACTGGTCTAAAGCAAAGTAGAACTCAGAGCACTGGTCCATCTCGAGCATGACTCCCCTCTACGTAGTCATAGGCAAAATCCGCGAGGCATGTAATTCATGATATGTAGGTGCCTCATGACCTGAACAAGAGCTGAGGGGAAAAACAGTACCCTTTCCTGATTTGAATTATTCTCAATTGCATTTATTTTCCTGTACAGGTAAGAAGGATGTGGAAGAGATATTGTGTGTCAAAGGTGAGTGCTTATAATTGTAAGAGGTCAGAAGTGGTTTCAGGAGTTGTTACTTCTTCCCATTTAGGGGATGTGAAAATTAATTCACAGTGTAGAGATGCATTGGCAGGCACCAGTGATCCACACTGAGCACTGCAAGCACTTGTGCAATGGACTTTTACTCCTATATTGGCAGTATGGAAGTACCCAAAGGTCTGTTTCACCAGAAACCTTTCTGATCCTAGTACACCTCAAGTTTTCCCTATGAATTCAATTAGCCACTTTCAGTCTGAAGAACTCACTTCCATACACACTGCCTATGTCTACATGAGACACTGACTGCACACATGTTACTGCATAGTCATTTAGTAAAGTAGTATCACTGAATGGTTTTAAGATGATGCTGACTGTGCAGTAGCTGATTACTACTGCGCAGTAGCATCACATCATACTTCGTGCCATGCAACACTGCTGCACAGTAGTAATGAGCTACTGCCCAGTAATAATGAGCTACTGCACAATCAGTGTCTCATATAGACACGGCCACTGTGCAGTTTGATTAATGCATCCAACTGAGTTTGAGACCCAAAGGGATCGGTTTAAAAGATGTCCGGTCCTCTGGTTTTGAATCTCAGGAAAGAGCTTTTTGAAACACCTAGTTCCCTAAAGACTTTTTTGGATCACCTTTCTTTGGATCATTAGTCATTTCTGCAGAACGTATTTATAACATGGGGTTCCTCTCCTCTCCAGGAGCAAGGGACTGCAAGGAACTGCTAATGAGAGGGGAAATCCTAAGTGGTTGGTACACCATCTATCGAAACGCCTGTATAGCCATGGAAGTGTTTTGTGACATGCAGACAGACCAGGGTGGCTGGATTGTAAGTAAAAACCATGCCTGAAATACTCCATCTTCATCCCATGAAAGTATGGGGGGAAACTGCCAATAGGTTTCACTGGATTTGGGTTTCTTCCAAGGTTTTGCTTGGACAGAGATCTTCCTAGAAAGGACACAGTGCTGTTGCTTGTATTTGTTCTAGTGCCTGTGAGTGGTGTACATGGAATCAGGTTATTTGTGCCATGGTGAGGCAAGATACTAGAAGCAGAACGTCCAAGAGAAGATTCTGCTGATTCCATAAGTTGAGGGAGAAATGAGTTAGTTACTTGTCCAGGCAGGTGAGGTCGTACAGGCCCTTGTAAGAGAAATCATCAATATTTATAGTAATTTTTAAGCCCTTTGTTTAGATGGGACGGGAAGGGAAAAGTGAGCTGATAGAGCTCTGAAATAGATGGAAATTGTGTTTTGCAAACAATTTAGAGGGCTTCACTCTTGTGAATCAGAATCCAAAATCACAGAACTTTTCAGTGTTGCTCAAGGATTGTTTTTATCAGTGTTTTAATTCACTGTTGATTTTTCTTTTCAGTAGGTTGTAACGAAATACAAAATACAAATTGAAACAAAAAGCCTTGCTAGATTTTTCTTCTTTTTTCTACTTCAGAAGGAAATGTCAGTAAAGTTCACGTGGCTTTATGGAGCATTTTGATTTCTACAAACTGTTTGTTTTTAATTCTATCCAGTTCAGAATATGTTCTGACCAATTCTAAATATAATTGTACTTTATTGCCGTATCTCATTTCGAGCTGCAAACATAGTGTGGAGATTCCGCTTTGGTGATAAGACACCAGCTGTGCTGTGGTGGGAATGGGAGGTGGGATAGTGCATATTCAGAAAAGCTCACTTGCACAGCTGGAAGAGGGCTTTTAGACCTCTCCTTATTATTTTTTCTTTACAGCTGCTGACTCATACTCTTTCCTTTCATACAAGATGTTAATTAGCCTTCCAGCTTGGGAAAGCACACACCTGAGCTTGTTTACTGCAATACACATCTACTGGTAGCTTCTGTGCAGTACAAGGGTGAGGTTCTCTCATCTGCAAGTACTGGAGGTCAGATTATATTAGCATAATTATCCCTTTTAGACTTTTTCATCTTTGTGATCTTCAACCAAATGTAAAAATAACGGACGGTCTGAACTTGTATTCTAACTCTGCGAGGCAAAGAAGAACCGGACAAGTTTAACAGTGACTGATTTTGGATTATTTGAAATTCTAATATGTTTTCTCAGTATTGCAACTAAAGCGATTCCCCTTCATTCCCCTGAAGGTCTTCCAGAGACGGAAGGATGGCTCAATAAATTTTTTTCATGACTGGAATAAATACAAGAGAGGTTTTGGCAATAAAATGACTGAATTCTGGTTGGGGAATGACAATATTCACCTACTGACATCAAAAGGTAACTGGGTCTGCAAAGTGGCATTCAGGTTTTCCCAGAAAATTTTCCCTGCACACTTGTGCGGAGACAGTTCAGAATGGGATTTTAAACAGGCTCTAAGATAAGGAAGATAAGACACTGGATATAGATCAATTCAAAATTTGATTTATTGTGTGTTTTTTTAGCAGGAGGCAGATGGTCACTGCTTCCACGGACTATTTCACCCATAGAAGACCTCATTCATTATGCAATATAGGCCAGTTGTTCTCCACCTTTCTGACCTCACAGTTGCCTATGTGTACCCACTTAGGCTGACAATGGCCCTGCCAATCTCTCAGTTCCCCCACAGGTCCAGGAGCCGCCTTGAGTCTTCCCACACACCAGGATCCTCCCATGTTTTGCCTCCACAAGATCTGGAAGGTTCTTGGTGATTGGTGACTTCTTGCAGTCATGCTTGCACAGCCCTGTGCCTGGACCAATTATCTCTGCCTAGCTGCAGGAATGATAACCGACAAATAGCACTGCATTAATTGCAGATCTCCTGTTTCCCCATTTTGGACCTTGCTGGCCCCACCGTTGACACACTTGTGTCCCACCCTCAGCAATTCCTAATTTACTGGGGGGGGCTTGCAGTCAAGTAGCACAGAACTGTTGTTGTAGGCCATAACACAATGGATGCAGCTGAAGAGTACACTCAGAAATACACCTTTCATAAACATTTATTGGAGCAGTTCACACTGTAGCTGTGTTGGCTTCTGTCAAAGCCTAGACTGAAATGCTGGAGTGATGAGCCAAATTGCAAATGATCTGCTTGCCAAAATTACATGCATTGTTCCCCTTATGAAGCATGGAGAGTCCAACTAACTTGATTCCAGAATTCTGAAAAGATATGAGCTGTCCTATATATGTACCGGTTCATTGTGTTATGTTGGCAAACATGATTGCCTGTAATAAACCAGAACGTGCCGAGGGGGGGTCCTCTGAGGGCTTTCTTTCCTGCTGCATCTGGAATTCAGTTGGGATTTATGGGAGGTTGCAAAGGCTTTATTTTCCTGCCATTTTTTGTAGTTTTGCTGAAGTGTAGCTGGAGTCAGGACCTAGTGTAGCTTGTCAGTTCAGGCGAGGTGAATACAAACTCTAGTGTAAAGGAGGAAACGTGTGTGTCATAATTAAAAGGGAGGATATTTCTCAGTTTGGTGAGGTTGACAGACATGAAATGCAATGTTCTAATACTGGACCAAATGTTTTAATTCTGGTAGACGAGAAAAAGTTCTGAAGATGCAAAATGATGATGGAACATCATCTTTTTCTCTCTTTCCAATTTTGTTTTCATTAGGTACCAATCAACTTCGTATTGACTTGCAAGGTTTTGATAACAAGTTTACATTTGCCAAATATGAATCATTTAAGATTTTAGATGCATCTCAGAATTACAAGCTGGTTCTTGGAAAATTCTTAGAAGGAAATGCAGGTAGGTGCTCAACATCGGTGCTCAACCTTTTATAGGACAAGAAACTTCTGCAAAGCCAGGGAGAATTGTATATTCCTAAAGCAGAAGGAACAGAAATTTCTCCATATCCACAGCAATTCTAAAAGTATTTGGGGTCAAGAACTTCCACAGACAAAGTTTGAGCTTTACCTGTCCCTTCAGTTCTCAATGAGTGACAACATAAATGCCCTTCTTAAAATGGTTGAGTCTCAGTGCCAAAGCTGAACCACAAGAGCTCTTTGCAATTCCTACATCCTAACAGAGTGCTTCTGGGAATGTAGTCCAGCATGTGACACATCAGGAGCTGAGAGGAAATGGTCATGATGAGTTTCTGACTCCTATTTCAAAATTAGAGGGATTCTGAATACTTCCTGAAAGGGAGAGATGAACACCAACATCCCCAAATGACAGAGATGGCCAAGTTGGCCTTTGTAGAACTACACTGCCTTGCTATATGCTGTTAACAATGACATTATTCAACTCACGCAGGGGACTCACTGTCTTACCACAATGGCATGCCGTTCTCCACTAAAGATAAACCCGCTGATAATAAATGTACAAAAACCCACAAGGGAGCCTGGTGGTACAAGAGTTGCATCGAATCCAACCTGAATGGGATATACCGGGGAACCAACAAGTCTTCTGTTGGAGATGGAATCAACTGGAAGACAGGGATGGGGTTGGCTATTTCCTACAAAATTGCTGAAATGAAAATTAGGCCAGTTTAACTCACTGGGAAGCCAGGGTCCAGGGGTCATGCTCTGCGCTTGTGTGAGTGCAGATACTTACGTGAATAAACTGTTTTTCTCTGTAGAGCATGATATCAATTTTCTTTGTTCCTCTCCTGAAAATCAATATTTTTCTATAGGCAGCTGAAGTGCATCTGCATATTGTCCCACATGACTTGCTAGTAGAGCTGCTTCATAGCTGATGGCAGAGCAAAGTGGGGAAGAGCAGAGGGTTCTGGACAAAGGGTTTTGGAATGCTAGGATAGTCCCAGCACTCTACAGTTCCATGCTGATCATTTTTAGCACTAAATAAAGCACTGCGTTGGTCATAGGGAACTATTCTGGTTTGCTTTCCGATAACTGGGCTTGATACAGGAATGTCTTTGAAAGTAGTTTTCTGGTATCCTAGTTATGTGATGCTTTGTCCTATGCAGAATTCATGTGGAGAGCTACATCAGGGCTTTCCACTTTCTAAGAGGCCTTAGAAACAAGGGAGGAAAATGGAAACATAATCAGGAAAAAAACCCACAAAGAAATTAAAAGTTTAAAAGCTCAGTTGGCAATACTCTGAAGTATGTCCCTCCAAGACATACACCAGATGGCTGAAACAGAGCAAAGGCTGTAGAAAACCTCATGTCTCCTTAAAAAAACAGGAGGAGAAATCAAAGGTCTGGAAGCAAGAAGCACAGGTAGTCATTCAGGAATCAAAAGCTGGAAAGATCATTTGGCATGCAAGAAACAGTTACCAGCTTGAACACTGAAGTTAACAGCCTCAAGGGGAATTGTGGCAGTAATTCAAGGTGGCCAGTGCCAACAGGGCGCAGGCTCCGGGGGGCTGCAGCAAGAAGGGCCCGGCAGCGGTGAGGTGGATGGGGCTGCTTTTCTCCCATGCCGAGCAGCAGCTTCTGCCTGGCTGCCACTGCTGTCGATGCTCGGTGCGGGCAGGTGAGTCCAGAGCAGGTGCAGGGCAGATTGTGGCTGTGTGCCCAGGTTCCAGCTGGTCCAGAGCTGGTCTGCTCTGTTGGGCCAAGTCTGGAGCAGGTGCGGGGTGGGCCAGAGTCGGGGCTGTGCGTGCAGGTCCCCACCCGCAGGGCTGGGGCCAACCCGTAGGGCTGGGGCCAGCAGCAGCAGCAGCCAGGAGCCACCACCACTACCTAGGCTGCCTAGAAAGGCAGTCCAGCTGCAGAGCTGTCCCAGCCCCACTGCATGCCCGGGGTCAGCAGGACACACCATGGGACAGCTAGAGCCTGGGCCAGGTGGGACTAAGGGACCCACCATGGGCAGGACAAAGTCTCTCCACAGGTCAGATCCAGCCTGCGAGCTGTATTTTGCCCACCCCTGACTTAGAGTGTGGGGCTGCAACCCACCAGTAGAGAGTTATTGCTCTAGGACACAACTTGATGGATGCAGATAATTGAGAACCAGGATGGCATTCACAAACAAACACTTTTTATAGCATTTATTGGAGCAACTCACTAGCTATACTGGCTTCAGTCAAGGCTTAGAGTGAAAGCCGGGAGGGATGAATAAAACTGCAAATTATCTGCTTGTCTGAACTACAGGCCTTTTCCCACCTATGGAGCACAGAGAACCCAGCTAACCAGACTCCAGATTATAGAATACTCAAGAGGTATGAGCTGTCTTGTATATACCTCTTTATTGAGTTACTTTGGCAAATGCAAAGGCCTAAAATACACCAGGACATATCAAACTCTGAAAAATGGATAATCTAAAGGCCTTTCTTGAAATGGCTGGCCACACAACTAGTCAGCCCTTCAGATTGCTCTGCTGTCAGAGCTTGGCAAAAGTCCATTTTCAAGACTTCTTCATTACTAAAAGTTGTGTGTGTAATTCTCTGGTTCAAAATCAACTACTATTTCATCCCTTCCTTACCCAAGGGCTTTTGGACACTTTCTCACTGAATTTGCTTATAACCAGAGCTGCGTTGTCTGAGGTGCCCCTTTTTGTTATCTTGCATTAGTTGTAGTTTATATTGTGACAGCACTAGGTGCCATAGGCACTCAGTTCTTATTCATTTTCTAGTAGGAATGTGAATATCATTAAAAAAAATATTTGTTTAACCTCCTTTAATTATATCCATTAAATGATTAACCGAGAACACAGCAGGTTGGATAAAGCTGCTTTCTGGAGACACTTTGGCCCCCGGAGCTCTTTGACATGGGGTGGGAGCAGAAGAGGAGGGCCCAGCCCGATAACAGCCCATGTGAAGCCTGGCTGGGAGGGTTGTGTTCACACCTGTGAACAAGCAGCTAATTACTTAATTCATGAGCCATTAGGCTCCTGGCTGTTTTCTTCTTTAGGCTATGGGTACTAGTCTACCTCCCACCCTCATCCACCCTCTCTCCCTCTCCCTCTCCCTCTCCCTTCTCCCTACCCTGCTGCCTTCTGATTCCTGCTGGGGCACTGTGTAGCTTCCCTCCTCTCTCTTCCCCAGCTAAAGGATAACCAGTAAGATAACTGTTTACCACTGACCTTATCAGTTAAATGATTAATCATTTAAACTTTCACAGTCCTACTTTCTAGTGACTTAATTAGGTCACACAGGAACTTGTGACAGAGCTGCATATCAAACAGCAATTCTGGGTCTCATTGCAAGGGCAGATCTGCAAGCACACTTTGCAATACCTGGCTCCCAGCAGAGAGGTTCTAGGAAGGTGACCGTGAATGTGACACATCGGGAGCTGAGATGGAAGTGGTTATGGTGAGTTTCAGACTCCTTTTTGTACAGTCAGAGGGGTTGGTTCGGAGTCCATCCTGCAAGGGGGATGTACACCCAACATTTCCAAATGACATTTGGCTAATGTAGAGCTTGACTGCCTTGCCACATGCTGTGAACAGTGACGTCCTTCAGTTCACTTGGGGATTCACTGACATTACAATGGCAGGCCTTTGTCGACAAAAGACCAAGAGAATGATTCTGAAAAAGAAAGTAAGCGCCAGTCCATTGGGGAGGCTGTTGGCATCAAAACTGTTGAATCCAACCTGAATGGGTTTTACTTCAAGGGAGTGAATTTATTCTGAATGAATCCTTAAACACCTGGGTGAGCAACAGAGGAATCCTTTATTCCTACAAATAGGCAAAGAATGAAAATTAGGCCAGTTTAACTCCATAGGAATCTGGTGTCAAACTCCTTTGGTTCCAGCCGTGCGTGCTGTATGAAGCACGTGTCAGGCCCACACACTGGATCCAGCACAGGGAGCCTGTCTGTGGGCCCAATCCAGACCAGCCCCAGATCCTGTATGCAGGGCCAGTCTGATGTGGGCACTGCATGCAGCATGCACACAGGACTGACTCTGTGTCATATCCAGCCCACACCAGATGGGCTCCATACACTGTATCTAGCACACAGGGCCATAAGCCATCATAGACAACATTTGGCACATAGTACTGAGGACCAGATGACATGGTTCTGTGGGCTGCAAATGACATCTGCAGATCGCAATATGCTTTACAATGGCGCTTAGGTATTCTCTATGCTTATGTGAAGCGTTGCAGAGACAAATCAGCTTGCACAGAATTGCCAATGATGGGAATGGGATGGTTTTGGTGAGATTCACATGTTGGGTAATGCTGTTCAGCCACCGTTATCAGCCTTTAAGTTGAACTAGCCTCAGCTGGAGCCAGCCACACCATGTTGTTACCATCAGCTTTCCCAGAGCTGTGCTACAGTGAACTGCAACTAAGGTTGCAGCACTCGCTTCACCACTAGTGCTGTGGACTGGCAGGTCCAGAGGACTGGACACTGGACTGGGAGTTTGATCTGGGCTTTGCTCTCGACTCTTCCCCTGACTTGCTGTATGAGCTGTAGCAATCCAAGACCTGTGTTTGTGTCTTAGCTTATTGTTCTTATAAAGTGCTTTGAGAGCCACAGGCAAAAATAAATGTTAGAGCTACTAGAAGTTTCAAAGCCCTGTTAGAGGAGAGGGGGTGGGTGGGATGGAGAAGTGTTTCAGAAAAATAGCATCAGTGATTTCTTTACCAAGTGAGGTCAGCAGGTGAACGTTGTCATTTCCCAGCCAAAACTCTGTCAGCCTGTTGCCAAAAACTCTCCTGTACGTACCCCAGTCCCGAAAAAAATCCACTGAACCATCTGCCCTTCTCTGGAAAACCTGCAGTGCAACAAGAGGGACCTGGGTGGGAAGCTGGTCCATGCATTTCATTTTTTTTTGCAGATAGCTTGCTTCCTGAGGATAACATGCTGTGGTAGATTTTATAGCTAACATGCCATCATTTCAACCTTCCTTCCATCATGTCTTCTATAGGAGAGAGAATTAAACAAAAATCTCTTTCAGTGGGACACATCCTTAGTTTCTTACTTTGATCAGGTAATGACCAAATCAAAAACCACAGTCACCTCAATAGGATTGTGACTGTAGTCACAAGTGAAAACTAAACAAGGTAACCTTCCCCTTTAGGGTGCCTATGCTTAGCTGAAGGAGAATGCAATAAATGCCTTAGGATTTGAAGCATCTAAATTAAATTTGACCAACAAAAATCTTTGCACAAGTACGTCCCCTTGTACCTAATGGAGTTGTTTTACTAGATTCTGTACAAACATTGTCTGTGCAACTTCTCTTCACCTCCCTTTGAGTCCAGTACATGCAAAGAATGAGCCATTGGTCCTGTGGAAAATGGTGGTTGACTCCGTAATCAAAGACTTTCAGTGCACTGTCAAGGGGGCTGAATTATGTCAAACGCGTGACTGCAGTTTGTATTACACCTCTGAGGATTCTTACTGATGCACATGCTTTATCTTAATCTGCAGTATGGACTGAGAAATTATCTCTGAAGAATATGAGGTGTGTGTGAACATGCTAAAATAAGGGGGTGCATATGTTATACTAAACCTGTCCAGTGCAGTTCATACTCACAATGTTTCAATTTTCTTCTGACTTTGCTAGGAAGGAGATCTGTAGGATATGGGATACTTGATACAGGTCATTCAGTCGCATTGCATTTGGGAACTCAAACTTCTATTTAACTAGAGTCATTGGAGACCAAGTCTTCACCTCATGAATCTCCAGATCCTACTAAAATGTGCACACCTTCGCCATTGAAAAAATGCTGCTGATTTTGGAATAATACCCGAGTAGTTAGGCATCCTATTGCCATAGGTGGAATCTGCTGGAACAATAGGCTGGTAGCATTAGACTACTAAACAGTGCCAATAACTTACAGACATTATCTTTAATTAGACAGGACACAAGCTAACATGAGAAATTGCAGGCTGTGCCTGATGCGTTTCCAGAACTCTTCTTTCAAAGTGGTGGTCCCGTAGCACAAGGTCGGTGCCAATACTTAGAGTCCAACAAGACGTCAGAAGCCCTAAAGCAACCCTAGAAAAAGATCACATCGTTCCAGTGCATTTATTTAAGTGGAAGAAAGGGATTGGTTAGCGGAGAATGACCCCAACAGATCCGAGATCTTCAGAATGTGTTGGAAGGAGCCATGTTAGGAAATGCTACTAGTAGCTAGTTTCTTTCACTCACCTGGGCAGGTGTCCTCAGCCTCACAAACTACCGCTACTAGACAGAGAAAGGCAAGGAAGGTTTGCCTTGCAACTCTCCCCATGCCTGGTGCTGGTGTCTGCAAGAGAAACTTTACTTGACAATCCTCTCCTCTCCTATAACATTTAGCTGTTGAGTGTCTCTTTATATACTCTCCAAATAAGTTAGTTAAAGTAACCTCTACTTCTTTAAGATCAGCAACTCTCATCCATGCTCCACCTCCCAGCTTCTGCTGAGATTAGCTATTCAGAAGATTTGGTATAAGTGTGTTGTTACTTAAGCCCAAAATAACGCTATGTGTATTCTCCTAGAGACAGTTTTTCTTTTTCTTCATATCAGAGGTTCTTACGATGGATGACTTTGGATGGCGATATCCCTCTCTCCCTGTCCCCATCATTTTGACATGAGAGAGAGAGATCCCCTTTTCCTACTGTTCCTATGTCCAAATCCTGAAGGTTAAACTGACTTGAACAACGAGAGTTTCTTGTGGAACCATACCTTCAAGAGGGAAGCTGTCAATGATAGGTGCTAACTGTTCCCAGCCCTTTTGGTCTCATTGATCCTGCAGCAACAAAACCACTTTTAGCTAAGCAATCTTAAATACAAGATGAGGTTTCCAAAGATGTTATCCAGTTTAGTATGAAAATGGTCTCAAAGCAACACCCCAGATTTGAGAGAGTGAAGATTCTCCCCCCATCCTCCTCCATAAATATGAGCCTCTGTTTGAATATCCTTCCTTTACTGTATGAACCCTAGGGATAATAAAAGCTATTGCCAAGGCTGACTGGATTTTGTTCCATTCAATTTTTTGACAGAAAGCTGGGATTTTTGTTTTAACTAAATGAAAATAGTCACACACTTTAAACTATTTTGGCACAAAATATTTCATTCTGAAAATGTTGGTATAATTCTCATGTCCCCATTCTCTTCTGACCAGAAACCGTCTCTTGGTGGCATACTGTGTCGCTTTTCATTTGGAGAGGGACAGGAGATGTAGTCCAGTCAGAGTCTGATCCAAAAAGGTGAATGGAAACATAGGGTACCTGAACTACTTTTTCCATGAGGCAATGTAGAGCAATTCTTTTACAGAAAAAAATATGTTTAAGGCCCAAACTTTTCAATATTTACAGTGAAGCTTAAATTTATGTTGGAAGGGAAAAATATTGCTCAGACAACTCTATTTGCACTAAATATTTGGGTATGTCACTGTCGCAGGGCACCTCGGTGCTCCTGCTCCTAGAGAGTGGAAACTGCCAGGGAGAGAGAGCCCTGGCAGGACATAACGAGCACAGCTGTGGGTTGCCCTGGCAACTAATGAGAGTCAGCTGGCCGGAAGGGGCAGGGCTTGGCCCTTATAAAGCCCAGGGCTGAGGCTAGGCTGGCAGTTCCCTGCCAGCAACCACAGAGGCAGGAGCTAGGAGGTGAGCATTGTAGGAACTGCTCTAGCTGACTGAAGGAGGGCAGCTCGAAGAGGTTTGAGGACCATGGTTAGGCGACGTTGAGTTAAGTTGTGGCCAAGAGGCTGGTGTTTGGTTGTGGTTGCTTATTACACCGGTGGTTTGGGTGAGGCTATAGGGGTGGAGGAGGCCTCATAGGGGGCTCATGGTAAAGTGGGGAACCCGGTGCCAGTGAGGGTGCACTAGGCCCTGAGAGTTGCAGGGCAGAGTCGTGGGGTCAGTGAAGCTCAGAGAGGAGCGGCTGAACCCCAAGGGACCCATGGGGGTGTGGGGCCCTAGCGCCAGCGAGGGGGCAGCATACTCAGAGGGAACCCCAGCGGTGTGGGAACCCCGGCGCTAGTGAGGGCACAGTATCCTTAAAGGGGCCTCATGGCCGAGTGTGAGGACCCCGGCACCCAAGGGGGGGTGCAGCAAGCCCCAGAGGGGGGCTGTATTATTAGGAGCCCAAGAGTGGGTGTAGCAAGCCCCAGAGAGGGGGCAGTATTGTTGAGGAACCCTAGCGTGGGCACAGCAAGTGCTAGAGAAGGGGGACTATTGAGAAGCCCAGGGTGGGCGTAGCAAGCCTGGGTAGTAGGCTAGTGCTGCAATAGACCTCAGACAGGGGCAGGGTGCTGCGGTGGACCCCGACGAAAGGGGTTAGCAGTACAGAGCCCAGGAGAAGGGCAAAGTGTGGCGGTGGTCCCCGGCAAAAGGGGATAGCAGCACAGTGCGCCCAGAGGAGGGAGGTTAGCAGTGC